GTAGCCTGTATTAATAATAGCGACGAGGAACTCTTCTTTGAACATGCCGCTTTGTTCATTTTTAGTTGTGGTGTTCTCACTGTTCTGTATATCGCCATTAAATCAATCGCACGTGTGGTGGGGCGGGGTCGGTGTGTAGCAGGCTGCAGCAGGCTGCAGCAGTCTACACTCTGCGCAGCCTGCGCTGCTGGCTTCCTCCAAGTTTACAGTAAAACAAACTGGTGGTGTGACCAATGGCCATTTACAATTATTAATACTATTACTATTATTAGCATTAGTCTATATTTTGGTTGAATCTAAGCCAGGAAAAAAAAGAAAAACATAAATAATAATTAAAAAATATATAAATAAAATCTAATTTTAATAATAATTTTCGATTATGGAAACGAATATTCAAACAATCGAATAATCGCTGGCATCCCTACTTAATATAAAGTGTTACCGGAAACTGTTTACCGATTCAAATCACAGACCAGTTTAGTCGACTTGTATTGTTCAGGGTGTACGTGTTGCAGGGAGCTTTGATAGTCTGGTCATTTGCTGTCCCCACATCTGGACCAATTACCAAAAAGCTTTGCATGAGTTTAGAATACAAACTCTGCGTCTGATAATCGCTAATGATACATAACCAATGCAATGTGTGCTTTTTGAAAGTAGGACGAAACACATGTTGTAATACTGTTTGCAGTCTACACAGGCCTAACACTTCCTTTGCCTCTGTGTTTAGTGTCCTGTCTGTCTGTAACTTTACCACACAACAGGTCTCTCTTGAAAATGAGACCTTGTGTCTCAATGAGATCTACACCTGTATAAATAAAGGCTAAATACATTTTTTTTTTTTATCTGACATCTCCAAACAAACCAGTTAAGCCCCACGGACCCGGTTCCGGGGCCGAAATCGCGTCATTTGCAGGAAACAACGTCTAAGGAACCTTAATATAATAAACTATGAATATTTTATATCCATACAATGGGAACAAACTCATTTAACTGATCTTTTTCATTTTTTTTTTTAAAAACACTGACCCTCTGAATTAGCCCCGAGCGAAAAATGCTAACCTATTACTGCACCGAAAATCACTGCTAGCTCCCTTATTACTTATCCTAGCTGCACATCCAACACATCGTTTATGATCGTAAAGACACAGAATCTAACGATGCCCACCTCAACACTGAAAGATACAAATTGGCGACGTTATCAACAAAAACGTACATCAAAACATGTGGCGCTAGGTAGCCTAAAACGCTAACATGGCTTACCTTGGTTTTGTCTGGTCAAAACTGGTCTTCAATGGCATTAAAACGATAAAAACGATGATGTAGTTAATCCATAGGTTAATATCCAATGTGCCTGTGTCCCCTTTGAAATGTTCTGATAATCTATAAGCAATAAAACTGCAATTCCGTTTTCAAATATCAGAGCAGGGAGATCCTACGCTCTGTAGCAAGATTGCATTCGCAAAGACGCCCCTTTTTTTAACTTGAGTGTGTGCGGGACGATTTCCCTTGGATTATATTGGCTCTAACGGTCAGAAAGAGATGTCACATGTCAAAATCGAAGAAGGGGGGCCAGAAATATATAGAAAATCCACCCAAATGGCCCCAGAAGAGGGTTTTTTTTGCTAAATCTGTCTAAAAAGGTCAAATATCACTTGTTTTGCATCAATCTTGATACAGGGTACTTATTATATGTTGTACTTTGGATTCCTAAAGCTTTTAGTCTACTAACCCATCATCCAAGGTTAGTTTTTTTACTATAAGTAAACAATACTTTGGACAGACACTATAATTTACAGTTTTTTACCATGTTCAATCTGAATTTTATTTAACATAAAAAACATCTATATTGATTCTGATCCAACTCACAGGTTTATCATTACTTTGAGAAAAAAGATTATTAATTGAACCCTTTTAGAAGGGAAGATATGAAGAGTTTGGTTCCAAAACGCGATAAACGCCACTTTTGAAAAAAACGAGTTCCCGCCGAAATCAGTATTGTATTTCGTCGGTATTGAAAAGTCAACATTCAATTTTATGCAAAACGCGATATCCGCCGTGTTATTCTGTCCTGTTTTCTCACTTTCTTTCCGAACAGCGACAAACGCCAGTCTCCCTTCTCTACAGAATGCGATACATCCGCTCAACCAATCACAGTGCACCATTCCACGCACCTCTACCAATCACAGAGCATTCCACGCAGTGTAAACAATAATGGCGCGGCACCCTGAATGTACCGGCTTTCGTCATTATCTACTTCAACAAACAATAAAAACATGAATAATTTTGACGGCATTGATGAACCTGTGGTGGTTTCTGCGGTGGGGAAGAAACGCAAGCCATAGAAATGTAATCATGTACGTGAGGAGATTAAGAAAATGAGGCACTCGGGATGAGGAAAAATGCCGGCTGTCGCTTGTTATCATTCTCATACAAAAGCAAACTTCTGTCACGCAGACACATTGACCCCAGGGGATCTATTAAAAAACGTTCAGTGTTTTTACTCTGGATCTACTCAAATCGAGCAGGATCAAGTCCTTTTGCAGCTGATCACTGTCAAAAAAGTTCAGCGGAGACGTCCAAAGGTTGTCAACAGCGATATGCAGAAGTATAGTACGGTGGCCCTGAAGTGCAAGACACCACAGCATTTCACAAAACACAGTAGGCTTGTTTGAGACAAGCGAGACCTGCGCCGACCTGCGCAGTTGCGATCAACGTCTTGCTAGTGCGTTGCATGATGGTTAGTCATTTTGTCCGACTTGCTCTGGAGGCTCGCCTACATGAGACGTTGAAATCTCGCGGGACAAAGACGCCCGCAGCCTTGAGAGCGAGGCGCGGCGAGGCGGCGCAGTTCCTCTCCACGGGCTGCGGAAGCGAAATGCTTGATGGGAAACGACTCGCTGGTATCTCGAGCTGAGCGCTCATTGGTGGTTTTTTCCACGTGCTGCTGATGAAACTCTCCAATTGGCTCGGCAAAAGTTTGTTGTTGTTTTGTGTCAGTTTTACATCGCCACATCCATTAACATTTTTCATCATTGTTCCACAATGTTTATCATCATGAAATTAATATCTATATATTTTATACTATACTTGTACTGCTTACCGTTTCATACTTTATATATCTTAGCATATTCATACACACTGTTCATACTGCTCACAGGCTGATATCTAGTGTATTCATACCCCTCACTGTTTATTCATCATTCAATTCATTCTATATTTTATTCTGTAGATTCTGTACATTACTTTTCACTTCACTGCTTGATGCACCTGGTTAGAAGCTAAACTGCATTTCGTTGTCTCAGTACCTGTAATATGTGCAATAACAATAAAGTAGAATCTAATCTTGAGGAACACATGTATTTACTTAGTACATATCTGACATTAACGATTAAACACATGTGTGCATTCTTTATAAATGCAAACTGGTTAAGACCACTGACGGAAGTAATTTTGAAAATTAATAAGTGGTTCTGTCTTTTACATGTATGGGTTCAACCCCCCTTGTATTGATTTGTTTTCAAATGAACAGACACTTGAGTCATTAATTTGTAGTGAGGTGTTATTTCTAGCAATTCTCTTAAAGTTAAACCAAATCATTAAAATAAAATCTATTGTAATGTAATGATTTGGTTTAACCGGTTTAACCTTATTTATTGAATACATCATTTAAAATGGCAAGATTAAATCAAATTACATCCATGTTGTACACATCATAAATCTTAAAGTGGCAGCTAAAGAATTATATTTACATCTAACAACACAGCAGCAGGTCTGTTCAATTCATGCTCATTAAGCTTCACGTGTGCGGATCTGAAGGGACTGACCATTTGTAGCCTGTCTACCTATCAGTTTTACAAACATTAAGAGGGAGGAGCATTTCTAATTATGGAACCCAGTCACTGGTGTGGTTCATCATCATGACTCAATTAACAAACCTATATAAAGCAATGGAGATCACCTTTGTCTACAGTGGGTAAAATGGAATTTGTGGTGCTTACACTGCGTGACGAACAGGGAGACATCACTGTAAGAGTCTCACAAGAAATGTCCCAAAGACTACAAAATGGTGAGTAAACAACTAAATTGCATTCCAACAATCTGGATATGACTTTAAATGATGTAAATTATTTTTCAGATAACAGTTTAGCAGCTGCACTTATGCAGCAAGCAAGGGCTGCAACAAATGCACAAGGTAATCTATCATTTAAATCAAAAATGGTATTGTCTTTTAATGCAAATCAAACAAATGACACATTCATGTTTATTGTAAACAAATATTTAATTTTCTCTCAATCACAGTCCCTTTAGATCTGTCTTCAGATGCTAGGCCTGCTCCTGAAAGGCCTGCTCCTGAAAGGCCTGCTCCTGAAAGGCCTGCTCCTGAAAGGCCTGCTCCTGAAAGGCCTGCTCCTGAAAGGCCTGCTCCATCCCAAGCTGGCACTCCTCACCTGGCATCCCCCTCCAGCCGGTCAGAACACCTTGAGGCAACACAAGGTACAGTAACTAAAATGAGGATCTAAACAGCAAATGCTATTTGTTTGAGTTACTAACACTTGTGTCTTAACAGATTTCACACACAACACCATATTGCTGCTTTTGGACCTGACAAAAACACACCAACACGTGTACTATCGCTCTAAACCCGGTTTTTATAACATTTTACAACGGCAGTTTAGCAAGGAGGGATACAGTTTCTCCTCAGACAAAATCCGAAAAAAATTGAACAACCTTTTGACCACATACAAAAGGGCCAAGGACCGTTGTACCTCAACAGGAGAGGGGAACATAACGTGGGAATATTATGGGGTAAGAAGTTTGTTCTTGCACATCTAGTTGGTAAAAGCAACATTTCATTTTTAACAATTCTGCAATTCCACAGATAATGGACAACCTGTTTGGGAGGTGCGGTGTTGGGAGTGCACCACCAGGCACTCTTGTTTCCACCCCTCTATTTCCCACTGCCTCACACACCCACCACACTGCCGTGTGCCTCTGAGGGCCAGCCTGGTCCCTCCATGACCCTGCTCACCACTCAGCCGAGATCAATCCGGTCTCGAGTCTCCCATCCCTCCTTCTACGACCTGTATGAGGCCCACTCGGAGAGGAGGACCAGTGCACTGGAGACACTGGTGCGGCCAGAACAGGAGCGCCGGAGAAGGCTGAAGGAGAGAAAACGGAGGAGGTTCGAAGCTAAAATGTTGACTGCGATGGGAGAAGTTGTTTCCCAATTAAAGTGCATTGGGAGCCAACAAGAGCGCATCATTGAGCTATTGCAGGACAAGCCCAATATGCCATAATTTCCCCCACACTGGGCATTCCCAGAATGAATTAATTTGTTTATAAAGAACACCACCTCAGTTTGTTTATGGAAGTAATATTGTTTAGATTACTTATTTATTTTCCTCGTTATGCAGTTGAATTATTATTTCATCCCTGGCAATTGCCTTGTAATATTTGTATTTGTATACACTAAGTGTTCACAATGTTTATATGCAATGATTATTATTTATTTGCCAAGTACATGTGTACATATCTATATATAGTCATTTCATTTTCAAAGAAGATAGTCAACTGCTGAAACTACTTCCTCCAAGCACATGTTGTGAAGTATGCAACAGGCAGTGACTGCTGTGCTAATGTTTGCAATGTTTTTCATGTACAAACATTTGAGCCTCCTGAACTTCGTTTTCAGTAGGCCAAAGGTATGCTCAATGACCACGCGTGCAACATTTAATTTCTGATTGAAACGACGCTGCCGAGCAGTTAAATGGCCATTGTCCCTGTATGGCCTCATAAGCTGAGGCAATAGTGGGTAGGCAGAGTCCCCAATGATGTGCATTCCCTCAGGCACCAGGGACTGGCGATCTTCATCAAGCAGCCTTCCAACAGCAGACAACCGGAATGCCCGTGCATCATGCCAGCTACCAGGGTGGCCCACATTAACGTGACAGAATCTCCGTTTACTGTCACAGAACCCAGTAAGCACAACAGAATAAAACTGTTTTCTGTTGATGTATGCTACTGGGTTCTCACAGTGTGGTTTCACAATAGGAATGTGGCATCCATCTACCGCACAGACAGTGTTGGGAAATCCTGCTGCACGAAATCCTAACTCAGAATTATGTAGGGCTTGCCCTGTGGGCCAGGAAATGTGGTGACACAAATACCTAGTGACAAGACTACAGAATTCATGGAGATGCAGGCAGACAGTGGATTTGGTGATATTAAAACGATCAGCAACCCCCCTATAGGACTCCTGGTTTGATAGAGTCCACAGACAGGCAAGGACACTGTTTTGAAGCGCCACTTTACTGTGCTGTCTGTTCAAGTAGAACGGGCCAATAGTCGTCATCACATCCTGTTTGGTAGAAAGGAATAAATGGCTTTTAATATCACCAGTCCAGATAATACATATTTTATTTTATTTATATATATATATATATATATATATATATATATACACACACATACTTCCACATGTCCCCTGGACAATCGGAAATTACTTTTGAAGTCTGAAGGACTGTACTGTGGGACCACTTCTTCCACAAATTGTTGGACCTTTGGAACGGATCTAAGGAAGGCAGGCACAGGAGCAAATGATGAGCATAAATCATTAGACCTATTCAACATTCTTTATATATATATAACTGCTGCTGCTGCTGCTGCTGCTGCTGCTGCTGCTGCTGCTGCTGCTGCTGCTGCTGCTGCTGCTGCTGCTGCTGCTGCTGCTGCTGCTGCTGCTGCTGCTGCTGCTGCTGCTGCTGCTGCTGCTGCTGCTGCTGCTGCTGCTGTAGGCCTATATTATCTTCACTTGATTTCAGTTGTATTCTTGTTTATTTATTGTATCTTTGTACTACTATCTTGCTTGCTTTCTATATCTTTAGTAAAGTAGCTTTTATCTTATCCCATTAGGACTAAAAAAGACTAATAGTGTCATAATTTTGCACAATTTGTGATCTGTAGAGTAAAGTAATCAGTCCGGATAATCGATCATACTTTTTAATTTAGACTGATGCAGCCAGTAGTAGGCCTAGATACATGTAGTAGCCTACAATATATTTTGTCTTTTTACTTGTGTATTGTATTGTGTATCTGTTTTTGTTACCTGCCTAGGTAGCCTACTACGGATGTAAATTAGCACGTTTGCTCAAACACATTTATACTTCTTGTATTTTATACTGATGTTCATTAACATGCTCTGTCCCTATCAAATTAAAAAATAAAAAGATACGTAATTACCTCCGCAGACGGTGTTCATCATGCCCTTCTCCATACAATACATGTGGGATTTCTATTGCATCCACTTCATCTGCAACGAAAAACGCCAACGCAATTTCCGCCATTGCAAACCCAGCCAGTCAAGCCGAGTCCGAGCTGTCCGACTTAAGGCGAGCTTTTTGACACCTCCCCCGGCTGCGATCGGCTACTCTCGTCTACTTTCGAGGCGAGCCGCAACGCGTCTCAAACAAGCCTAGTGCTTCTCTGGCTGGCTCTGTCCAATCACAAACAAGAAGTGTTCTCCCTAAGGAATACCCTTTCCGTCCAATGTGAAATGCTGCGGCGTTTTCTGAAATGCTGTTGTGTTTTCTGAAATGCTGTAGTGTTTTCTGAAATGCTGTAGTGTTTTGTGAAATGCTGTAGTGTTTTGTGTGAATGCTGTTGTGTTTTGTGAAATGCTGTGATGTCTTGCACTTCAGGGCCACCGTAGAATAGGGAGGTCACTAATGAATATCATTTGCTGACCGAAGATCATCCCACAAACATTCATGTCTGCAAGGCCACCTTTTGCAGCGTTTTGGGTGAGTTTAATTTTGATTTACGAATTATATTATTCATACAGGACTGCCTGCTCTTAAAACGTGTGGATCATTAAACGACGCTATGTTGATGTGATAGGCTGGACTACACAGGCTAGATAATGACAGCTTAATTCACAACAAGCACATCACTGGCTTTTCAATGCAGCCTGATGTGTAGCCTAGGTTATATCATGAAGTGAACGAGGCACAATTAAGCTTTTCTGTTGAATCTTTAATGTTTAAGTTTCTTGCTATTTTTTCGTTTGTTTTCATGTTAAAATGTAGCCTACTTAAGGAATTAGTATCACTTAGCCTATAGCTGTCTGATGTATTGATTGGGCACAAATGTCCTAGCCTAGTTGGCTGGTCATCTGCCATTGTTATTTGATAAATATGCCTACTGCAAGATGAATTAATGTAGAAAAGTAGGCAGTAGCCTAAGTAGGTACTTACACACACAATACATAGGCTACATAAATAGGACTATCAGGCTATAGGTTTGCATTTAAAATGTATGAATAACGGCTATTTAATTGTCTGATGCACTGCTTAATCACAAATACATAAATACATACTGTTGAGAGCTTCATATGAAGTGAATACTTAAAACGAAAGTTAATTATAAATCATATATGATCAATTATATTCTTGTATGAACTCTTAATGAGAATGCTTCATATTTTAGGTTTTTCTATATTTACAGCATAAACAAAACAAAGTGGTTTGTTTAGGTTGAGTGTGTAAGGTCTATGATGTATGGGTGTCACTGATAAGGAAGAGGGCAGTTTCTTCCCCTTTTTTCTCACAGCAGATCACAGGGAGGGGGGCTCCTGCCTTAAAGGAGAAACACATTGAGGCCTCAAAAAGCAGGTTATGTCATAGCTGAGAATAATATTTTTCAAGTCCTACAGGGGTCATGTCCTTTTTACACAAACATGGGAAGGTGTGTCTTAGGCCATAGCCAATAGAAGATGTTGGTTGGGGATAGAGGAGGTGTTTTTTGGGGTTTCGATCCGGTTTTTTGAGCATAAAGAGACTGGTTTTTTGAGAGAGCGCGAGAGAGAGGGGGAAACCCCTGGTATACTCTCTTCCGGTAGGCTCTGTCCTTCAGGGCTGGGTAAATGGCTCTCGGTAAGGTTATCCTGGAAGGCGTTAATAGGACGTACGGGAATCTTAGACCTAATAGCTTTATTAAGGTTATCCTGGAAGGCGTTAATAGGACGTACGGGAATCTTAGACCTAATAGCTTTATTAAGATCAATCCTGGAATGCGTTAATAGGACGTACAGGAATCTTATAACTAATGGCTTTATTTAGATATTGGATAGATGAGAAATATGAATTAAGGTTTTAGATAAAAATATAACCCCAGCATTTTTTAATTTTTCTTCAAATAAACTGATCTCACCTGTTGGATTGGGACAACTAAAAGAAAATCTGTGCTCTCCTCTCCTGCTTAAAAGGTAAGACTGCAACCTGCCACACTCACACTTAGGTAGGAACACACTCCATTTACTGATATCAAAATCCTTCGTGATCCCTTAAACAGATTAAAAAAGAGTTGTCTGAATAGAAACAGCAGTTAATTGAACCTGGTTCTTCGGGGAGTTAATAGAGGTGATATCTTGCTGACGTTGGTGGATCTGAGCCAAGCAGTAAACTTACATAGACTCAATAACTTCGGTCAGGTCAATTAGTAATTAGAGTAATTTACCGGAATAAATTATCAGGACCTCGCCGACTCTAAACAATACATACACACATACATACTACAAACACACCTACATACATACAAACAAAATGTCATTTTTCTGTCATTGCAGGTATTGGCAAGGATCGTGTGTCTCGAGTGGCACGGTATTATGCACTCAACGCTACAGCCAGACCAGAACTCAGGGGTGGTGCTCGTAAGGTGGCAGAAAATGATGCCAAGAAGCAGCATGTGATGGATCACATCAAAACGTTACATTTAGGGCTAGCCATTATGGAAGAAGGGGAGCACCTGGCCGGAAATACCTACCCTGTGACCTCAGTGTGAAAAGAATGCACGAGCTATTCGACCAACAAAACCATGATGTAGTCAGCTACTCCCTGTATTACACTGTTTTTCGACAGCACTTCAACCTTGGATTCGGGCATCCTGCCACAGATGCCTGTTCTTCATGTGCCAGGTTTCAACTGAGAGTCAAGGACCCCAGATTGACTGAAGAAGAGAAACGCAGTGAGTCTGCATCCGACGAGCACGGGTGTTCTATGATTTGCTGGGGCAGGTAGATCATGATGCAGTGACCCTTTGCTTTGACATGATGCAGAATTTGGTACTCCCTAAAACCGCCATAGGTCAGGCATACTATTCCAGACAGCTCTACATGTATCTCTTTGGTGTCGTTATTCACCATGGGACGGGAAGTAAACAAGCTGTGGATGATGTTCATCTGTACACATGGATAGAGCATGAGAATAGAAAAGGACTGCTTCAGCTCTGGACCACTGTTTACATCAACAGTTGAGTGGTGCTCTTCACCACGCTCAGAGGCTGCGATTGTTCAGCGATTCTTGTTTTGGTCAGAACAAAAATATTAACCTGCTGTCCATGCTGTTTTCCTTTATGAAGGAGGCCTTTCCAAGAATCAGTGCTGAGTATGTGTTTCCTATAAGGGGGCACAGTTTTCTGCCCGTGGATCGTGTGTTTGGGAGGATTGAGCAACAGGTTCGAAAGAAGGACACCATTCTTATGCCAGAGGAATACTACCAGATTTTGCGCAGTCATGGCAATGTACACGTCTATGGTCAAGACTGGGAGGCTTATGATTTCAAAACAGAAACACAGGCTTAGTAAAGTCACAAAAGTCATTTAAGCTAAGTGAAGCAAGAATGCTGGAATTCAGGAAGGAGAAACTAGGATTCAAGGCTGTGTATAGCGGTGAATACTGCTACCACTCAGTGTTGAAGAGAGGAAAGAAGTGGGCAAACTTCAAGCCAAGTCAGCTTCCCAAAGAAAGCACAGTGAACGAAGCAAAAAGGAAGGATGTCCTGAACTTGCTCTCTGAAATTGGTGTGAGTGACAATGTGCGTGCCTTCTACAGTATGATGATGCACTCTCAGTCATAGATGAATGAGAGTAGCTGCCCATTGTGCCAGCCTTTTGAGAGTGGCCATTCCACTCTTAATGAATGATAAGTTATTGAATGTTTTACACAGAAATATAGTTATATTAATTAAATGGATTTATAGTATGCACAAGACTTGTGCAAATCAGTTTTCAATCTTCTTTACAGTTCAATCATGAGAGACGTGATGTATGAAATACATGTTTAATACCGGACACGTGGTATAGAAAATTATGATTGACAGATTACAACAATGAATCAACTGATGTTTGGAGATTAGGCCCCGGTTTGTAGGATATCATTCAGGAGGGGAAAACCGCTCCGATGAACCCCCAAAGAGAAGAGAAGTAAGAAGTGCTGAGATGTGAAGCATTTCTTACCTTGCTGGCTGATTGAGGAGATCTGTGGATGAAATGAGATAACACAGGGACATGATGAGATTGTCGGAATAACTGTAGGGTTAATGTGAACGCCAACCATGCTTAGCGCCTGCATGTTGGATTAGACGATGCTGACCCATAGGCCGCAACCTGCACGCGCAGGGTTAAACATGACGCTGACCCACCGGCCGCAACCTGCACGCGCAGGGTTAAACATGACGCTGACCCGCTGGCCGCAACCTGTACACACAGGGTTAAACAAAAGCTGACCCATAGGCCGCAACCTGTACACACAGGGTTAAACAAAATGCTGACCCATAGGCCGCAACCTGCCCACGCAGGGTTAAACAAAATGCTGACCCATAGGCCGCAACCTGCACACGCAGGGTTAAACAAAAAGCTGACCCATAGGCCGCAACCTGTACACACAGGGTTAAACAAAATGCTGACCCATAGGCCGCAACCTGCCCACGCAGGGTTAAACAAAATGCTGACCCATAGGCCGCAACCTGCACACGCAGGGTTAAACAAAAAGCTGACCCATAGGCCGCAACCTGTACACACAGGGTTAAACAAAATGCTGACCCATAGGCCGCAACCTGCACACGCAGGGTTAAACAAATGCTGACCCATAGGCCGCAACCTGTACACACAGGGTTAAACATGACGATGACCTATTCGCCCTGTACGTACAGGGTTTAAACATAATGCGACCCACTGGCCGCAACCTGCGCGGCAGGATTCAATACGCGGACCCGAAGGTCGCAACGATGCGGTATGAAGTGTTTAAACGTGAACACGGTGACACGTAAATGTGCTGACTTGTTAAACCACCACCAGTTGTATATATAAGTATCGTTAGTGTTGGAGGGACCTTTGGATGGCCAGCACGGCACTGATGTCCGGGCGAATGTAGGATGTGAAGGCGGAGGAGAACCACCGTCCGAGTTGGCAGGGAGGAGGGAGATATGCCTTGAATGGCTGCACCTGTCTGAACGAAAACCCTGATATGCTATTAGACGCCACCACCAGTTATATGCATATTTACCATAGGTAAACTGAAGAGATCTTGATTGGCGGCACGAGCCGATGTCCGGTGAAGAGG